AGTAAAAAATGAATCTGAAGAAACAAAAAAGAAAAAAAAAAAAACAGGCAAAGGCAGTTTTACAAGGAACAGACTGTCAGCTCTCTCTGTGGTACTGAATAACAGTTCTCAGAAAATTAAATGTTTATCTGTATGTGGCCTGGTGCCTGCTTTTAACTCCTTGGGCCTCTTCAGCCATACCGTGCTTTAAGCAGACTTTCTACAACATGAAATGCTCATAGGTCCTCTATTTTTGTAATCCAAATGTAAATAAAAATACCAAAGACAACACATTATTTAACAGTTTGCCCAAGGAACACGAGCTATAGATATTTTACCATGGACACCACGTTGCCACGGATACCAGTGGCTACCGGCATTCTGGCAAGTCTGAGAATTATTCTGCATAAAATCTAAAAGACTTCAGCCTTTCATGCCATACCTGGTATCACCAAACCAAGATAAACTGCTTGTGTCTTTATGGAAGAGGATTAGTTTTTAATTCAAAAACATTTGAGGCTTCTCTGGTGATCTGGAGACTAAGCAATCAGGCAATGACATCCCTCTGGAGTTAACACTCACTAGAGGGAAGAGGGATCTGCGACCCACTTGAGTTTTAATTGTGCTCTTTTACAACCCGGAAGCGTGGTGGAGTAGGTGGGCTCTGCCCTCTGGCCGGCTGCAGCATTCCTGATCTGTAGCCTCCTCTGCAGCTGACAGTGAGGTCAAGTTTGGTTCCCATTCTGCCTGCCAGGTGATTGGAGCCCCTTTCAGATCTGTCATCACTTTGGAAATACAGGCTTCTCCGGCAGCTGGTTTAGTGAGGAACAGAACTCCACCATATTTGCAAGACACCCATTGTCTCCTTGGCTGGGGGGCATTTTTAAAGCCACAAAGCCACCTCCGACAGAGGCCTTGCCTCTCAACATGCAAGCAGTCCCTTTGAGGAAAGCAGGATCCTGGTGAGATAGCCAGGACAACAGTTCTCTTGTATTTTATATGATAATTGCCTCTTGCCTTTATATTTATTTAAAAAATCAGACCCTAACTCTCCCATTCTACCTTACTCATCTCCTCCTACCCCAGGTTAAGTCCTGCCTATTCCTATGTGTCTCGCAAACCAGGAGAAATAAGATCTGTTCATACCACAGCTTCCCAACTTGTACATTTTAACATGAGGCAGATTCCTAAAATATAAATTCCAATGATGCTCTAGTATCACAGCTCTCCTAGGTCCATACACTTTGTGCTCTTATGAAACAGAAGCAATATTTAGACATGTACTTGTGCTAGGGAAAGGTTTCTGCTCCTATGTGGAAACACAGTGACTATGAGAGGAGAGGGGTTTTCACTTAAGGACACTGGAAACCTCAATTCTCGCACCAGGACACAAGAAGAATTCCTAAATTAGAGACTTTTCATGTTCTAGGCATGGGGAAAAAAAGCACTATGTGTTGCTGGGAGCCTGGGAGACTTGAGTGGACACTGTAGTGTCCATGGTGGTGGCAGGCATACCGTGGGGTCTCACCTCCCTCCAGAATCTGCTCTCCGACTCCCCAAAGTCTCCTTGGTATGATTATCAGGCAGGGAAAGTAACCAGGTAACCACTAGAAAAATGTCTCTGTGATTCACTCAAACCTGGGACCAAGGTTTTGGAACATTATCACAGGTTTGGCTTCACAGCTAGCCCACAGTGATCAACAAGCAATCAACCATTCCCCTATTCACACACACACACACACACTCACACACACTCACACACTCAGTCACTTTCTCTCTGTTACTTCTCTTTCTCTCTACTGGATGACGTGGCAACAAAGTACTCATCTCTCACTCTCTTCCAGCTATTCTTCATGCGAATTCCCCGACTAAGTTAAGTTAAACTTATTTTACTTCCAAAGCCCCAGTCTATCAGAGCACAAGGCAAATCCATACCTTGCACGGCACAGCAGCCAACTGGGACAAGTACTGATATGCTTTCCGTATCTCCGGGGCCCCCCTTTACCCTCTCATCAGCCCCTCAGCATCAGACCTGAGGGGGTTTCAACACGCACAGAGTAACACAAACCTGTTCTAAGGCCATCCTGTGGCCACAGGATCCTAAGGACAGCAAGATTCAAAATGCATTTGCTTCGCATTTCTCGAAAAGTTTCCTTGACTGTTGCTCTTCATACACACACACATAGTTAAGGCAGTTAAGGAAGGACAGTGGTTCAAGCGGGAAGGGCCAACACCCCTTTCTTCAGGCGAGTTAAATGACCTGTCCAAGAGCACGTACATGGTCACTGGCAGAGTCAGGACTAAACCCAGGTCTCTCTCCTAACTCCTGGGTCTACGCTTCTCCTGTGGCACCACACTGCCTCTCGGTAGGTGTGTTTACATGTTTGTGAGAGTCGGAACTCGTCTAGCCGGGGAACCACTTCCATAACGAGAACCACAGGCTGCCTGCGTCCCTGAGCAGCCAGGTGAAGCTCTGCACTGAGCCAGTTCTGATGCCACCCACGACCCAAACAGAGAATCCACAGCGCAGGTGAGTGTGTACATGTGCATGTGTGTCAGCATGCACTGGCTGGGATGTGCACAATCAGAGAAAACGAAGCTTTAGAGGAAACAATCCGATTCGCAACGCCCTTTGGGGTTTTGCCTTGAAAATAAGTAACACACAGCGATGTCCTTTCCTACCCCTGGGGCAGAACAAAGGCCAGATTTCTCCTCAGCCCACTGAATGGCTGAGTCTATCTCAGCTCAATTTTTATAAACAGAGAACATTCACATAATAATACCACAATGCATTTGGTCAAAGCCTAAACACTTTTTCATAAAATACATTTTATATGTCCACTCCATTTTCAAACATATGTAAATTTAGATTTTAAGCCTCTACGTACAAAATTCCAGTTTACCTTTGAATGGAGCAAGCCAGTCAAGCTTCCTCATTTCGGCGGCAGAAGTCATTCTTTCAGACTACGGTGTGAGCACGGAGCTTACAGACGTGGGCTCTACCGACGGGAGGCATAGCTCCCAATCACCTGTGCTCAGGTTCACAGCCAATCAGAACACAGGCAAGGGAGCAAAGCACGGAATCCGCTTGCTCCACTGGATAAAACCCCAAGGTTTGTTTTGTTAATAGGCTACTCCAAAGGAAATTCATTTCACTTGAAGTTAACCTTTAACACGTTTTTCTAAGAAAAGAAAAAAACATGGGTACTGAAGCACGGATCGAAACCACGAAATTATTTTACCCGATGACTTAAAACTGTAGGACACCATTTTACCACGAGCAGCTGTACTCCTCACGGCACCAATCAATTAAACAGAAAATGTTGAGATAATCAAGTTTACACCAACATGCCTGGAAGATATACAAGACTCCCATAAACTCTGTGGCCTCTGCTGCTTTTTTCTTTTTAGTCTAAAACTTTGACAACCCAACAGGCATGTGTGTGCATGTTAAAAACAATTCCACCCCAGATGTTATGTTTAGTCAAGTGTTGTAAAAGAGGCATTCTGCATCTTTTATTAGAACGAGAGATGCAGAAGGGTCAAAGCAAAATGAACGTTTTAAATAATTCCATGTTAGCATTGCAAAGAATTTCCCCCCTCAGTGTGTGTTGCTAAATGATGACAGCAGTGTTTCCAGTTATGATAGTAGTTGTTTCTGTGAGTTGTCTGAATATTTGATCATTAAAACTTCCCTTCTGAACCAAGCTAACCCATGATTAAAAGATTCCCACCTTCATACGACTTTAAAACTTCACTGCAGTTAGGTTCCTCAAAGCACTTGATTACAATTTTTAAATAAATTATACAGTGGGATCCTTTCTTGACTTTTTTTTTGAAGAATAAAAGTCAGAGGGGCTTCCCTGGTGGCGCAGTGGTTGAGAGTCCGCCTGCCGATGCAGGGGACACGGGTTCGCGCCCCGGTCTGGGAAGATCCCACATGCCGCGGAGCGGCTGGGCCCGTGGGCCATGGCCGCTGGGCCTGCGCGTCCGGGGCTCCGCAGTGGGAGAGGCCACAACAGTGAGAGGCCCGCGCACCGCAAAAAAAAAAAAAAGAATAAAAGTCAGATTAAGAAAGTAAAGAAGGATTCCATCATATTTTTAAAAAATTTATCCTGGTTTATTTTCCTATTAAATTCATCTATGGCTTCAAAGTTTAAGTGGCACTTGGATTTGGGATGTTTTCATGATTTAACAAGTTGCCATCTTGTTATAAAGAGAGAAGGTAAATGTTTCATTTCATATGTGGGGTGGCTTATAAACATTTTAAAGAAATCAATAATTTATGTCACCCCATTTATATTCTCCACTGCTAGACTTTAAAAGTGGCTTTGGAATCAGCATGTTTTAAAATAACTGAACATGCAAATAATGTTTCTACCTAACCATGAACCAGCTGCTATATATCTAGGTAACTCAGTAATGGCAGAACACTTAAACAAAGGCTTCTTTGCCTCTCTTACCCTCTTAATCCAAAACTAAGTAATTCTCCTTTTCTGCCCTTGTATTTGCACTTGTGCAGTTTAATGACTAGATATTAAAACTCATGCTTTATAAGCAAAACCTTCCATTTACATACACTTAAAAGGTACATAAAAAGTGCAGACTGCATTTCTTCTCTGCCATGCTTTCTCTCAATAATGTCACCTGTGATGACTCGAAACATATCCTTAATACATTCAGAGTTCTCTACTTTTGAGTCAGCAAATGTTAGTTCTCCAACATAAACTCAAGAGAGAACAGTCAGCCACAAAATGGACTCTAAATTCAAAATGGCAAAGGCTACCGAGACAACTCCATTAGAGACCCACTGAAACGGGAGTAAAATTCAGGTCACTTCTGAGCAAAGCTCATCCCAGATATCGTGTGGGCGTTAAAAAGGTATTTCATTTTAATTTGGGTGCTGGGAGTCAGACGTCCTGTTTCGAAGTGCTATTGCAAAATGCTAACCCAGGAGCTTGTGACCCCACCTCGGGTACCACAGGGCCCACTCTCCTTCTCAGGTGGGAGTCCTTGGAAGTCTACTGCTGACTGACCCCCATTTGGGGGTGGTCCGCCTCTGGCTCCTCCTCTTCCACGTCCGCACTGTACTCTTCAAATGCGTCGTCATCTGCATCTGGAAGCCCCAGTAACTACAGGGGAGAGAAGAGAAGCAGCTGTGAGTGCCAAATGGCCCACAGGCAGGAAGGCAACCAAAGGCATCTGATCCAAATTCAACAAAGAGGGCAAGAATATACTGTGGAGAAAAAACAATCTTCAATAAGTGGTGCTAGGAAAACTAGACAGCTCCATGTAAAAGAACGAGATTAGAACACTTCCTCAGACCATATACAAAAATAAACTCAAAATAGATTAAAGACCTAAATTTAACACCAGAAACCAAAAAACTCCTAGGAGAGAACACAGACAGGACACTCTTTGACATAAATCATAGCAATATATTTTTGGATATGTCTCCTAAGGCAAAAGAAAGAAAGGCAAAAATAAACAAATGGGACCTAATGGAACTGAAAAGCTTTTTCACAGAAAAGGAAATCACTGACAAAATGAAAAGACAACCTATTGATCAGGAGAAATATTTTCAAATGATATGACTGATAAGGAGTTAATATCCAAAATATATAAACAACTCATACAACTCAATATCAAAAAAACAACCCAATCGAAAAGCAGGCAGAAGACCTGAATAGACATCTTTCCAAAGAAGAAATACAGATGGCCAACAGGCACACGAAAAGATGCTCAACATCACTAATATGAGAGAAATGCAAATCAAAACCACAATGAGATATCACCTCAAACTTCAGAATAGCTATTACCAAAAAGTCTACAAATAGTAAATGTTGGAGAGGGTGTGGAGAAAAGGGAGCCCTCCTACACTGTTGGTGGGAATGTAAACTGGTGTAGCCACTATGGAAAACAGTGTGGAGGTTCCTCAAAAAATTAAAAACAGAACTTCCATATGACCCAGCAATTCTGCTCCTGGGTATATATCTGAAGACAACAAGAACACTAATTCAAAAAGATACATGTAACCCCAGTGTTCATAGCAGCATTATTTACAATAGCCAAGATATGGAAGTAAACTAAGTTTCCATCAACAGATGACTAGATAAAGAAGATGTGAGTTACACACCCCCCCCCACACACACTGGAATATTACTCAGCCATAAAAAAGAATGAAATTCTGCCATTTGCAGCAACATGGCTGGACCTAGAGAGTATTATGTTTAGTGAAATAAGTCAGACAAAGACAAATACTCTGTTATTACTTATATGTGGAATCTAAAAAATAAAACAAATGAATGCATATAACAAAACAGAAAAAGACTCACAGATATATAGAACAAACTTGTGGTGACCAGTGGGGAGAGGGAAGGAGGGAGGGGCAAAATAGGGGTAGGGGACTCAAAGATACAAACTACTATGTGTAAAATAAATAAGCAACAAGAATATATTGTACAGCACAGGGTAAGATAGCCATTGTTTTGTAATAACTTTAAATGGAGTATAATCTATAAAAATACTGAATCACTATGTTATACACTTGAAATTAATATAATATTGTAAATCAACTATACTTCAATAAAGAAATTTCAACAGCACTTAACAGGAATTAGCACAGTAGCTATGGATTTCTCATGGGAGTCAGCTACCTCTATAATTATTTTCATAAGCTTATTAGATGCAAGTGTCAATCGTACAATGGATTGGTGCCCAAAGGACTAGGTTTTACTGGAGAGCCTGGAGATTCTCTACTTTTAAGTATCATCCATGCACACACAAAGATACAATATCTATGCACACACACACTGGGCTGTCAGCAGCAGTACAATGAACAGTGCTGACTATCCCAACAAGATGTTAAAAATTTATTCTCCTCTATGTCTTCTTCTCTAAAAATGCATGCTGCTATTATTTATAACACACATATAAAAATATAGAGACTACTGAAATGTTCAACAAAATGGTTAAATAAATTATGGTGCATCCATAAAATGGAATCTTATATATCCACTTAAAATACTATTTTTGAGTTTAATGATATAAAAAATGTGCTCGTGTGTGTAAAAAGAACATGATGAAAATTGCATTTTCATTATGATACAAAATTTTTTTAAAGTATACACAAATGCATAGAAAAAAAGACTTCAATGAAATAAATATATCCAAATTTTAAGAGTACTTTTTTAGGCAATGTGATTATGGGTAAATTTTTTCCTTTTTATCTTTTTGTATTTTCCAAATGCTCTATAATAATCATCAGGGAAATTCACAATAAATACACAGTAAACGTTTGCTTAAAACACTGGCTGGTCCTGGGTTAGAAACCGTGAGTGCCCTTTGCTGGGCCTGATCAATATGGACGAATGCTCTGGTGCTGGCAGGAAGCCATGGCGGCAGGCATCTTGCTTGGCATCACGGGGATGCCGACCCACAGCTCTCTGATGAACCTTTCTCACGTGGTAGCCCCTTGGTTGACCATTTTCAGGCAACTTCACTGAATGACCCTATGATCCAAACACTAACTGCATTAGGACAAAGTGAGATGGACCATTCCATTTACTCTGCATTGCTTCCCAGGGCCCTGCCACCCACCCCGCTTTCCATTCCCTCCCAAAGGCTTACAGGAGGAAAGGGTAAGCAGAGTCCTGATCAAAGTACACCTTTACTCTGAAGTTCTCAGACCACAACTCTTGCAGGTCTCAGAGAGCCCTCTGAACACGCTCAGGACAAAATCATCTGCCAGGCATTATGGGTCATATGATGCACGTGGCCTGCCAAGGCACAATGGCCAACTGCAGGCACATGCCTTCCCCTTAGAGCTCAGGGTTACAGCTGTCTCAGAGACACTGCTGACTGGGGGGAGGAGTGGGAGGGGCGCATCTCAGCTTGTTCGCACAGTCTGCACCAATCACATAGTCTGCACCAATCTCGTGTGTGCTGGGGAGAAGGGAAAAGCCCCTTTCCCCTACTACTGTCTCCCTTCCATATCTTACTGGGTGGAATAAAAGGTAAAGTTTGCCTCTAAAGACGGAAAAAAATGGCTGGTTACAATGAACACAGATGACTAACGGTGTTCAAGTTTATTTCAAGAGCTGCTAGATGACAGCAAGGTGAAAGTATCAAGAGTGGTAACATTTAAACAGTTGATAAAATATAAATATTTTTGCCACTACCAAGAACTCCAGAATCACCTAAATGCCAAAAGAAGATGCATTAATTCAATAATAAATATAACTCCTCATTGTACTGAAGGGATGCTCTTTAAAAGAGGAATGGTTGATGGCTTCCTTCTCAGTTAACAAATCTGACTGGATGCCTGGAGCCTTGGGTTCAGGAGGATTCTGAGGCTCAGTGGGAAAGATCCTGGTCAGTTAGCAATGGCTGTCATGGGTACAGGGGGCGCAGTTGAGGTATGCATCCACATATTTGCCATCTTGTCCTAAAGTGACATGCCACTGATTATTCTTTTTCATAATATGTTTAGATAATTCACATGGACTCAAACTGTAGGTACCACTTAACACCCACCCTCTCCTCAGCTTAGGGTGGCTTGGTAGAAGAGGTTCCAGCAAGCCAAGCATGAAACCCTTCCCCTCTCTCCTCTGCCTAGCTCTGTACCTTACCCTGATGTGAATCCAAGGCACATAGTTCTAGGTCTGTAGCATCAGCCACATGGGAGGCCCTTCCCTTTGGCAGGAAATCTTCAGATGCTAATTTGAGAGCTGCTCTCCCCCTGTCCTTAAAGGAGGGAGAGAGAAGAGAAGCAGCTCTCAATGGCTGTCAGGACGTTTAAGGCACCTTAGCGGAGAATCTGAAGATTTGTTGAGAGGCTGTGTGGAAAAGGCACTGGACCTCGCGTCTGGAAGCCAGGGCTCTAGTTGGGGACCACTGCCTTTGCTGAGCCTCGGTGTCCTTCTCTGTAAAGTGGGAACCATGACACCTGCTCTACTCCAGAGAAACTATGGAGACTCAATGAGAAGGTGAATGTGGCCATGGTCTGCAAACTGTAGAGTCTTATGTGAATTATCTAATTACATTATATTATCTTGCTTCTCATTTTAAAGCACAGTCAGTTCAATTATTCAAGGGGAGTTACTGCTGCATCAGTAGACTGTCTCCAGACCCTGCTTCTTCCTCTCTCTTCTGCTGGGCTTGCGTCACTGTTAATTAGTACTGTAGGAAGTAGGAAGAGAACTAAGAAACTCAATTCTATCAGCCTCTGCATTAGATTCTCAGGCTTACATTCCATTGAACCAACCAATTTTGTCATACTTCGGATTCAATGATAATAGTTTATATTGGTTAAAGTTACTATCTGCTAGGCACTGTATAAGCAGCTTTTCTGTATATTAATTCCTCATAATAACCCTCTGGGGTAGGTCTACTATTATTATCTCCCTTTCACAAAGAAGATCTGAAGATGTTGAGTAAATTTGCTCAGAGTTGCCCAGTAGGAATCAGAGCAGGATTCAAACACAGGCCAGCAGGTTGTAGACATTACATGCCTAACCGCCAGGCTACCTGGGAGATATCCTTCCAGCTGTCCATGCTGCTCCTATAGCTGGAGGCTTCAATGTTTTCTACTCGGTAATACACTTAAAAGAATTCAATATGCAATGTTAATATCAACATTTATGAGTATGTACAATTTGGAAGCATGAGGAGGAAAACAGAAAAAGCACAAGAGCTAGAATTTGCCTGGGATTCCAAAGGACATCATACAGATATGTAATAATCTAGCATTCCCACCTCTGTCTCCATTCTCATTTATGGTAGGTAAGTCTAACTTTTGGGTTACCAGAGGCAGAGGTGAGGGGAGGGAAAATTGGCTGAAGGCAGTCAAAAAAGTACTAACTTCCAGTTATAACTTAAATAAGTACTAGGGATATAATTTACATCATGATAAATATAATTAACATTGCTGTATGCTGTATAAGAAAGTTGTTAAGAGGGGCTTCCCTGGTGGTGCAGTGCTTAAGAATCTGCCTGCCAATACAAGGGCCATAGGTTCGAGCCCTGGTCCAGGAAGATCCCACATGCCACGGAGCAACTAAGCCTGTGCGCCACAACTACTGAGCCTGTGAGCCACAAATACTGAGCCCACGCGCCACAACTACTGAAGCCC